GAGATTAAACTGAGACAACTTAATAAGCATAAAAATTACTAACCGCGTTGCTAGCTTTAAAGCCATTCCTCCAGCTAAACGCGATGTTCGAAATATGACAACACCGAGAAACCACTACAATCAAAACGATCAGCAAGTTAGATTGCAACTTCCTTGATGTACATCAAAATTAATTTTACTTCTTTCCCGCAACGAAAGGTAATAAGCGAAAGTCAGTGATAATATTGTCCAATCAGATACAGCCAGTATAAATCGCTAAATAAAATTTACGTAATCATTAATGCCCGCTTCAATACTGGTGTTGCAGTTTCCGTCCCGTAAGCAATTCCAGTTCCAAGTGTGTGCTATTCAGCGCGCAAGTAATGTATTTTTATATGCATTTGCGGTTGTTTCATTATGCTTTTCATGTTATCGGCATTGTTCTGTTTCTAAGTTGGTTTCCCATTGTTTCATTTTTGCTTTCCTTTGTTTGTCCTTTGTCTTTGCCATGGCCGCCTTCTTGCTTGCTTCTGCTTCGATTCCGGAGGTTCCGACAGGGTCCATCGTTGTCTGTAGGTTGTGGTTTCCCCTTTTTTCCCTCTCACTCTTCTTTACGCTTGCACTGTAAACTTGCCACTATGCCCGTCGTCGTATCACGGTCTTGTTGTTTTTTACGTCCGCCATCTTCCTACGTATGTTCTGTTCTTCAACATAAGCGGTTGCTTGTTATCCGCACGTTGTGCTTTTTGCCTTTATTCTGTCTCATTATTGTTCATATTCAAACTTTAAGGCGAGTATTACCGCGTACGATTTGTTGCTATCTTGATCTTTAAACGGATATTATTACAAAATACATGGCAAAACTGAATCAAAGAATTATTGCAATCCATTTAATCGTAACCGACGCAAGAACAACCGCCCACCGATTGAGCCGATAGAAAATCAACATATTATGATACAGACTTAACACAGCTATGGTGGTGCACTCTATCGTTCGAGATAGTGCTTATCCCTCCACTCTATTCAGAGCTCCATCCACTTTGTTCACTGATTACCATCTAGTGTACGTTGCTGAAGGCC